TAAACATTTTTAAAAACCCATATTAAGAGATGATTTATTTAAGATTAGATTAGAGAATTTGGCAGGCAGACTTATAGATTATATCCTAGAGCTACTCAAAGACCAATGGACAAGTTGTTAATTCATGTTTGAAGAAGATATATACAGAAACTAAAAATTTCATAGTATTTTGACAGATTAATTTTATGTCTGTTGGATCTAAGAATAAAAAATAATTGAGCTTGCAAAAGAAAATTTTATTCAGTTTTGACCAAGGGAGTTAAAAATGGAGGTGTAGGAAGACTCTGATCTCACCTCCTTCCACAGACACAACACATTTACATCTGTATATGGAATAATTTTCCTCTGAAAAGGACTTGAGAACTAGGTGAACTGTGTTTCCACAACAGAAGTCAAAAGAGATACATGAAGTCAGGGAGGCAAAAACACAGCTTCACTGATAATGCAACCCTCATCATGGAAGGATCCTCCCCCAAAGCATAGGGAACTCTCCCTTGAGGAGTGAAGGGTTGTGCCCTACATCAGGCAACCCTAGTCTTTCCAGGGCAGGCACTGGAAATAAGAGCCCCCAAAACACCTGATTTTGAAAATCGCCACCAATAAAGACCAGGAGAATCATAGAAATATCAGGAATGAAGATCCAGCTCTTACAGAGCTCATGTGCAAAACCACTCCCCCAAAATACAGTGCAAAAGCAACAATTTGAAAAATGCCTAGACCATAGCAAGGGGGAACCCCTTGCTAATATTTAAGTGGCTACTGGACAAGCAGGAACCTGCAAGGACTTTGTCAGGGCTGGCCCACACCTTTATTGCAATCTCTTTCTAACTTGCTGGAGTTGGAGCCTAGGATGCCATTTTTATTGCCCTCCCTCTAGCCTTCTAGCACCAAAGGGAGTGCTTGGCCTAACCTGTCCCATAACCTGGATGCACCAGCCTCAAGCCAGGCCCTACCCAAAGCAGCCAGCCACAGCCAAGCTTGGAGAGTGCCCTGACCACACCTCTTGGCACAGAACTGGGAGGGGCAAGCACCCCAACCACACAGTTTCAGTCTAGCAGCCAAGCCTCAGTTGGCCTGGGTGGGTGTTCAGAACCCCACCTATCCAGCCCTGAGACCCAGCGACAACCAGGCTAGCCTGATTGTCCCCTTGCAGCAGCTAAGGCCCCATCACACTGAATGGCAGAAAATACTTGCAAATATTTCTGATATGGGATTATTATCCAAATACATTAAGAACTTATAAAACTCAATAACATAAGAACAAGCAACCCAATTGAAAAATGGGCTGAGGACCCAAAAATACATTTTTTAAAAGACATACATTTTGCCAATAGGTACATGAAAAGATGCTATTACTAATCTATAAAAAAATAAAATAATAGCAAATAGGAACTAGATTATACTTTTGAAAACTCAGGAAGTCAGGAATGCTTAGTTGCCTATAAAATTTTGCACTTCTTGGCTTATATTCAGAGCTGTTAAATCCAAATCAGTTATACAAATATACCACCAGAATAGAAAACATTCCCTGGCATGGCAGATACTGTTTCAAAGAAAATATTTTTAAAAACCAATCTTTAATTTGAACTAAGCAGTAACTACATTTATATATATATTTGTTACTAAGAAATAACAAGCTAAATGTAAATTCAACTGAGGCTGTAGCTGCAGTAAATAATGTTATAAAGTAGCTAATGAGTAATTCCATAGACAGTGTTTCCAAAATCAATGCATAGTTTGCATAAAGCCTCAAAACATGAAAATTTCGTTCAAACATATTCATCTAGCAACATGTAATTGGAGAAATAGTAAGTGGAAATATTAGCACATTATTTTAACACATGAATATTACTTAGAAATATGCTTTGATCTCAATTCAATGTCAGAGTAAAAAAGCCTTCATTTCAGCAAAATAAAGTATCTAGGCTAATAAATGTAAATTCAGAAATAATTTTAATAACATAATCATTAAAATATATTTATATACTTCCATCTAGTATATGTATATGTATATCTGTATATGTGCATATATACATACACAAATAATCTTTTGTTGAATTCTTCAGGTTCACAAGACTTATTATGAAGGAAAAGGAAAATAGCAAAATTATAGAAGTCCATTGTCAAAATCAACACATTACCAACCAGTGACGTTTGAGTGCATGCCAAAATATTTATGAATATGATTCTCTTCAAAGGCCTGAATTTCTTCTAAGTTCAATAAGCTTCTGAAATTGATCGTATTGATAGTGAGAGATGGAGACAGAGAAAGGGAAGAAGACATAGAAAGAGACTGATAGAGGGAGAGACAGAAAAGAGAAAGAACACTAATACTTCCTGATTATTTTTGAAATTTTTGTCCTGCAACTATCATTTCTTTAATATTTCAGAGTAAACTATTAAACCTTATGCTCAAACTTCATTAGTTTAGTGACTGTAAAGCACAGTGTTCTTCAAGAAAAAAACATAGGCAAAGCAGTCAACAATGTTAAAAACATGTACTTTAAATACACAACATATATATACTTTAAATAGAAAAAACATAAATTGAAAATACAATGTTGGAAAAAGATATACTGGGCAAACAATAAGCCTAAGAAGGCTGGAGTGGCTATATTAAATCTTATAAAAAGCTCAAGACAGAGAGTAAATGCTTGAGATAAATGGAATGTTTCATAGTGATGAAAGAGCCAATTCATCAGAAAGACTAGCAATCATAAATGTGTGTGTAGCTAATAACAGAGCCTCCAAATTCATGCACCACAAAAAAGGAAAAATATTTAAGGAGAAATTAGCAAGTTCACATTCAGAGATTTTGGCATTCCTCTTAGCAAAAATAAGAAGGATGGAGGAGGAAAAGTATAAAAGATATGAACACTCTCAACTGCTTTAATCTAACTTATATTTATAGATGTCTTGCCAGTGGGTTTTAGCCCTGGACAAGCTCACTATGAATTCAATGAGACCAAAGAAATGATGGTGGAATGTTCTTGGGGTTAAAGGGTTTATACCCAACTTTATTCCCAGGGTGGTAAGTCAATCACTAGAATCCTGTCCATTTAGAGCAAGTCTTCATAAAGCAAGCCTGTCTCTGCCTCTGGGCCTCTCTGCCCCTGCAGCCATCTCAGTCCCCATTCTCACCATTGCCACCACGCCAGACTCTGCTCTCCTGCAGCCCTGCAGCAGAAGTGCCACTGCATCACCCAGAACACTGGGCAGAGCTCTTTATATGGAGTCAATAACAAAGTATTGCCCACATGTGTGTAGTGAGCTGGCCAACCAGGGCCAGATGAGAATCCTGGCCATAGGAACATTCACTTTATCCACAATAGGTTTTATATTTACATTTATATTTGTATTTCATTTGTATTTATTCTACTACACCCAACCATTGTAGAATCCACACTTTTCAAGTGCATGCATTGTTCATTCACCAAGACAGACTTTCCCCAGGGTCACAAAACAAATTTCAAATGTTTGAAATATTCTTTTATCATCACACCACGAATTAAATTAGAAAAACAAAATCTGTAAAATATTTAGAAAAGTTCAAAATATTAGGAAATAAGCAAGTTATTCCTAACAAAAGAAGTTAGGAGAAAAAAAGGATAAAAGGAAATGAGAAAATAATTGAAAAAAATTGAAAGTATATACATAAGGGAAGACAAATCTTGTATTTGCCTTGCATATTAAGTAAGTCCCATATTTCTATCTCCTTATTAGTTTAACCATCAGAACTTCAAACTTTCATTGTTTACTTTTCATGTTTTTTAAAAGATAGAAATAGAAAAATCTTGAAAAATATTCATTTCTTTGTTGTTCTTTCTAGTGGAAGTTGAGGGAGATATTGATACAATTTAAATTAAGCCCTATTGTCAATAATTAAGGAATCCAGACTCTGAGTCAGTATCATCTTTGCAATAATGAACAACCCCAAAATCTCAGTGGCTTACACAAAGATCAGTACTTTTCTTATGTGGCAAATCAGTTGCTGCAGGCTGGCTACTCTGTTCAGTGGGTCTTCTTATCCTGGGGTCCAGGGTCAAAGAGAAGTTCCCTCTTATGGGAGAGGATCCTCTTATGGAAGAAGGATCTGGTGAAAATACACAATACCTCTTAAAATACCTGCTTAGTGTTGGCACACAATCCCTTTTGCTTCACACCCCTCATCCTCTACTCTATCTTAACACACATGGGAGGATCTCCAATCTGAGTCTCCAAGGAAGAGGTGTTTTAACAAGTTAAAGTTAAGAAGATACTAGAATATTTACTGCAGCTGGAACATATTTTTCAATTTTGGGGTCATGCATCAAGATCTTCACATATCAAAGTATCTCTGTGACAACTTTGATAAAATTATAATAAGCCTACAGCCGTTAAAAATGTAAGGCTTTGTTTAGTGCATTCAGTAGAAGAATGTAATTACATGTGAACATTATCCAAACTCTATTTCCATTTTTGGGAAATTGGTCATAGAAGTTTGTGGGGAAAATGGAAGTTCCTATGGCTGGGATCCTCACCTGACTCTAAACTATTTGATGATGTAATTGGCCTACTGCTAGACTAATACTTCCATACCCATTGACAATGAGCTATTATTGGCTGAGTCACTATGTAAAGAGCTCCACCCGGTGCTCTGGGCAGGCTCTGAGCTGGAGGTAGATTATGGACCTGCAGACTGCTGGATGCAGATGTGATTGTACCACCGTGAGAATAAAGCAAGGTATAAACCCTGACATTCTGTTGTTACTCAGTTTCATCGAATCCAGAGTGAATTGCCTAGGGGCAATTCCTGCCAGGTGACAGTGTTGCTGTGGTAAAATTAGCTAGAAATCAGTCCTACAATTATCAAAAACTTGAAAGCAAGATTTGCAATATGTTGATACTGTAATATTCTGCTTTTGATATATAATTTGGGGGGTTAGGAAAAGAAGGAAAATGAGATGTGTAAACAAATGTCTATGTGTTATGGAAATGGCTTTTAAAATAAACCATTGCCAGTGCTGGCTTTGGCAGCACATATACTAAAATTAGAACAATACGGAGATTAGCATGGCCCTTGTGCAAGGATGACATGCAAATTCATGAAGCGTTCCATATTTTTAAATAAATACATAAACCATTGCCAGATACTCAGTGCCTTTTTCCTGTCTTCCAATGGGTGTATCAATTAGAAATCCTAATCTCTATGTTTGACACAGTAGTCTTCTCCTTAGCTTAACCACTTTTATCTTGATCTTGGTCTTTCATTACTGTTCTGGAACTGCTGACATGATAAATGCTGAATTATTCCTTCAAAAACACAAATAAAGCACCAGCAAATAGAAACAGTGCTTCTATGTGGTACTTGATAATATGAGATACCATGACTGTAGGCAAATTTTGGTCAACATCAAAGGAATATTTAAATTCTCTACCTGAGCAAATTTTTATTGTTACCCATGGCTTATTATAGTTCCTATGAATATTAGTCTGGTTGGTTTTGATTAAGCCCTTACTATATGCCACTGTACTAGACAAAAGACATTAGAAGCTGATTATCTCTGTCCTCGAGCAATTTATAGTCTATTGAGAGTAAATGAACATGTAAAAATATTTTTAACATACTACATGTGATGTTCAAATTATAAAGCAATAAAGTGGCCAGAAGAATAAACTGAATTTAATCAATGGATTGTTTCATGAATATGTGTTATCATTCTCCAGAAAATCCAGCTAATATGAGACAAGACCCAAGTTCTTTTTAGTTAATTAGTTGTAGTTAATTAAAAATATGAAACCATAAACTTTCAGTCTTATAAAACATCCTGATATGATTTTAGATTCAATGTATTTTTACAAAAGAGAAACATGAAGTCAAGACTGCAGTTACTGCTTAAGCTGGAAGATCTCAAATTTCTTGATTCCCAGTAGATACGTGCTTCTCTACCTCCATGCTGTTACTCTGTCCATCACTGTTTCAATTTTTGGTTGTTTTAAGTTTCCTTATTTCGGGTACTGACCTAGAACTTATACGATAGATATTACACCAAAGTCTAGACATAGACTTTTGCTGTTTTTCTCTGTTTTCCTGTGTTTGCTCAAATGTGCTACAATACGGTAATACAATTAGGAACATTAACCTTTTAGAATAGGAAGAAAACATAACCAGGTAGAAAGGTTTTTTTTTTTATTTTGGTATAATTAATCTACAATTACAGAAAGAACATTATGTTTACTAGGTTCCCCCCTTCACCAAGTCCCCCCTACATACCCCTTCACAGTCACTGTCCATCTGTGTAGTAAGAAGCTGTAAAATCACTACTTGTCTTCTCTGTGCTGCACAGCCTTCCCCGTGCCCCCCACGCAACATACATGCTAATCGTAATGCACTCTTTCTTTTTCCCCACCCTTATCCCACACTTCCCACCCATCGTCCCCAGTCCCTTTCCCTTTGGTAACTAGTAGTCCATTATTGGGTTCTGTAATTCTGCTGCTGTTTTGTTCCTTAAGTTTTCCTTTCTTCTTATACTCCACATATGAGTGAAATGATTTGGTACTTGTCCTTCTCCGCCTGGCTTATTTCACTGAGCATAATACCCTCTAGCTCCATCCATGTTGTTGTGAATGGTAGGATCTGTTTTTTCTTATGGCTGCGTAATAATCCACTGTGTATATGTACCACATCTTCTTTATCCATTCGTCAACTGATGGACATTTAGGTTGCTTCCATATCTTGGCTATTGTAAACAGTGCAGCAATAAACATAGGGATGCATCTGTCTTTTTCAAACTGGAGTGCTGCATTCTTAGGGTAAATTCCTAGAAGTGGAATTCCTGGGTCAAGTGGTATTTCTATTTTGAGCATTCTGAGGAACCTCCATACTGCTTTCCACAATGGTT